CCCAGTGCCTTGCACGTGCTAGGTGAGCACTCTACCACTAGCCACAACCTCAGCCCGAGTGTTTTTAATTGAATGTCTGTGCTAACTAGAAAGACTGCCTCTGCTTTACTGAGCCTGAAACAAAGCATCCTGCATCATTCCAGCAGCTGGTTTCATTTATTGGTAAGGCAGGAGAAAGTGGATTTGGAAAATTTTAAGCAAAATTAGTTTTAATGATCATTATCTGATTTTGCTTTTGGACGGAAAAGTTCCCCCTTTGTTTAAGTCAGGCTCTGTCAAGTTTAACTTTAAATAAAAGTTCTTTTAATTGGGACTGCAAAGAGCAGGCAGTCAGAAATGTAGAAAGTACTTCACAGGAAAACCAGTTACAGTGATCCACAGCAAATCCAACTATTCAGTTAATGGAAAAATGTTGGAATGAGGGACACAATCTCATCTGGAATTTCTGTGCAATGACTGCTGGGTTTCATGTATTTTTAACTAGACATTTTTGCTAAAACACTGAATTCCTCCCAAAATACAATACTCTTGGTCTAGGTATTACAGCTTTGCAAGTTAATTGTCTAAATCTGGGTGATTACTAGATTTTTTAAAAATTCATTTCTTAAATGAGATATTTCAGAAATAATGTATTTGAAATGCCTCATATATGAAATAAATTCCCCTATCATGATGACATAAATCGTAGTTTTTAGATTGTCAACTTGTCTAGATTTTCATACATGTTGACATATGCCTTTCTACACACCTTTCTTATATTTTCTTGAACTATCTGGTAGAGTGGATGACTTTCTGAAGTATCACTTTAATGTTTTGAAAAACAAATCTACCTTTCAGCTAAAAAGAGAAAATGGGTTTTCAAAGGTATTTTAAATTATTACAGAGAAAAAAATTCCCACATATGAGGACACTTGGCCCTGTTCCTAGTGATCCTGATCAAGACCAGGATCAGCACTAAAAACAGAGAGATGGTGGGGGGAGAATAGGGCTGGACACGGAGAGAAGGAGCTGGGCTGCACTTTGGTGGACGGCCCTTCCTGCTGTTGGAACTCTTCTGTGCTGGCATGACTACCTAGGCTGGAAGGAAATGTGTCCCCTGAGCTCTTTAGGGCCAGATCTGGACAGTTCTGGAAAACGTGATCCCCTGCAGCTGCTGGGATGCGGCCTCCAGGTGCCCACCTGACTTTTCCTGTGTGGCCTGGTGTGGCGAGGGCTCTGGGCTCAGGTTCCTAGTGATTCTGGCAAGACTTGGGGCTGTGTTTGGCCTGGCCACCCATCTTCCCTGGTCCCCAGAGTTTAGCAGATGACATTTTCTTGGAGAGGTTTAATTCTTTTAATTGGGACTGCAAAGAGCAGGCAGTCAGAAATGTAGAAAGCACTGTTGCTTGACATTCTTCTTGTTACTGGTCAATACAGTCCAGGCCAGGTTTGTACAGTCGAAGTCTGCTTTCAGTGTGTCGCCACATAGCTGTCTTGATTCTAGTCGTTCTCTCTGTGTGTACTTGCTGAAGTTCACCCAAAGTCCAGGGCCTGTAAAGCTGGTTCTGTGGCCATGTGAGAAGTTGAGGGATTCCTCTCCTTGAAGGGCAGGAGAAGGTCAAGTCCACCCCTGTGCAGTTCCTCCACTGAGTCTGGATGTGCAGAGCAGGGACAAGGCTCAAACACGTAGCTGGGACATACATGTGACAGCAGGTGGTTCTGAGGTCCCAGCTTTTGGGCACCCCTGGGGACGGCAGGGACTGAGAGAACTGTCTGGTATTCCAGCCATGGGCGCCAGCTAAACCAGCCCACAGCCAGGAGGGGCGGGCATAGGGAGACGGCCCTGATCCACGTGGCCTCCCGTGTGTTCTGCTTGGGGATTTTGGCCTGCCTAAGCCCCTTTCCAGTCAAATGAAGTGAAGAAAAAGAAACTAAGTTAGAACTCCTTGGATGTATTTTCTGTGTCCTAGTCATGGGAAATCTTGCCTACTCTTCACTCTCCTTAACTGAGCACCAATTATTATTGTTAGACTTCTGAATAGGCCAGCAGTGACCCAGTCTCACGGGTGAGCAATCTCACGTGGGACACACACCATTTGGGAGACTCTGGGAGTGAAAGGGAGAGTGCCGAGCGCAGGCAGTGGGGAAGGAGTGCCTACCCTGGACATCAGGACAGGCGGGTCAGGACAGGCCTCCTGAGATGGGGATGTGGAACCGGAGGCTGGAAGGGTGGGCATTAGCTGGCTGAGGAGTGCTGAGCAGATGGAGCAGCAGGCAAGTTAGAGATTAAAAGAAGCTCCGTGTCTGAGTGATCACCAAGGTGGGGAGCGGGAGCAGGAGGCGGGGAGCACTGGGAGCCGAGGCAGAAGTCCTCTGAGTAAATGAGCTGTGATTTTATTCTAGGAGCCCTGGAACAGGAAAAGTGGAACAGAAAATGTGTTTCAGAAATTGCTTCTGGCCATAGAGGGAAGCCGAGTGGAGGTAGAAGCAGATTGGAGCTGGGAGTGTTAGGAGGCTGATGCAGCTCAGCCAGACGGAAGTGACCCTGGCCTCTATCTGGAGGCTGGATGTGCAGGGCCGAGTGGGGCAGGAGCAGGGGATGAGCAGAGAGGGGCCCAAGGCCTGAAGGCTGGGCAGCCATCACCAGCAGGCACCTCAGGGCTGGGATGACAGCTCCGTGGCAGAGGTCAAGTGAGACTGGCAAGTGGAGGCTCTCCACCCTTGGCACCAAAGCTTTGAAGAATGTGCTTTAACTAGGCAGAGTTTAAGTCCTGGCTGGATGCACGGGAGCCTGGGGATAAGTGCAGTACACACATCCAGGTCCTGGCAGGAGTGTCTCCAGCAGGCCTAGCAGATTTGATTCCCTGATCTGCAGTGGAGGGTGGAGTCAGATCTGGGCTGCAACCCGCACACAGCTCTTGGAGCCCCGCACCGCACCGTACCCTTGCAGTTAGAGATGCTGGCGCCGAGCCACTTATCTTCTGCTCAGTTACATTATGCTGTCCCAGTTCCAGTGTCTCACAACAATTAAGTCAGGGGTGGAGGGGCTCAGGGGGACAACAGTACTGGGAGGAATATTAACTTCAATTTCAACACATGGACTTTAGGTTTCCTAACAATTTCCAAGGGTTTTAGGAGCTCTGTGTGAGGAATCGGGATAGAGATCAAAGACACATTTCTTCTTTCTTTCTTTTTCCTGTGGTGCTGGGGATGGAGCCCAGGGGTTTGGGCATGCTAGACAAGTGCTCTACCACTGAGCTGCACTCCAGCCCTGAGTTGTGGGTATCTGTGATAAATCCATATCATAGAAACAGGTTTCACAGACAGTTGAATGCATTGGCCTGGGGTTAAGGAAATATGTCTGAGACCATAGGGGAGAGCTGAATTCTGTAGGGTGAGTGGGAGAACCCACAGAAAGGGCGTAAGTGGAAATGTGAGGACTGGTTCTACCCAAAGGCACACCAACACAGTGGCTGAGCAGAGCTGAGAACTTGCCCAGGAAGAGGAAGTAGAGATTAGGGTGGCTGGGGAGGCCGGAGGGCCAAGGCGTGCTAGGCCCTGGGCTGAGGCAGGAACCCTCCAGGGGCATGGTCAGCATGTCACCTGTGGGTCTGCCTGGAGCTCCTCCTGCTGTGGGGACAGGAGCCAAACTAGAGTGGGTAGCACAGCAAAGGGGACAGTGGTGGATACAACTGTGCAAGCTGCTATTGCCTTCTGCGCTCAGAGGTCAGGTCTGCTGCGCTACTGCAATGCCTTATTGACTGTCTCGTGTGTGTGTGTGTGTGTGTGTGTGTGTGGTGCTGGGGTGAGACACAGGGCCTCCTGCCTACTAGGCGAGTGCTCTGCCGTGCTAAACCTCCAGCCCTCTTCTGTGTTAAAAAAAGTCAAAGTTAATTCCCCTTTCTGAGAGAATCCATCTGCGGATGAGCCATGGCCTGGCAACCTTTGCTGCTGACTTCTCATCTTCCCGGTGCCTGGGTGCTGTGTGAAGCCCTGTGTGGGTGTCTGCATCTGTCTGCTTGGCCACTCTTTGGTCCCACCTGGAGCACTCGAACTCTCCCAGGATCCTCCTCCTACCTGTGTTCTTATGTGGATGAGGGTTATGGAAAAGAAAATCATCATGGCCAAGTTAAAACTTTCCACTTGTATATTTCTGGTACCTCAGGTTCCAATTTAAAACATTAGAATATTCTGGAACACATGTGAAATCCATGTCCATTTTGGACCACCCAGATTCAGAACATATAATGAGAAACTACAGAAACCATCTTGTAGGTGACGCAGCTGTTGACTCTCAGACTCAGTTTTAAGAAGGTCAGAGGAAGGAATAAAGAGCATTTAGATTTGAAATCCCCAAACCAGGCAACAGAGTACTTATTAGGAGGTAGATGGGGGAGGCATAGGGTTCCCTCTCTCTCCATCTCCCTCCCTTCCTCCAGACAGACTACAGGTCAGAAAGCAGGAGGCTTGCAGAAATGTTGATAATTGTTAATAACCCTCCTCTTATGGGATTCGCTCAGCAGACGGCATAAACGCAGTCGCCTGACCCGCTTGAACTCTCTGTCCACTCCATTCTTCACGGTGGTCAACCCCACATTCCTTTGGAGAATCTGCTCCTCCAGGAGTCGTATTCTCCAAGCACATATTTTAGGATGTCACTCGTGGCGCGGGATTAAAACTTCACGTGTTCTCTGCTATTTATAGAATTATCAGCCGCAAGGTTTTCACTGTTCTTTCTTCTTAAGCGCTGGGATTCAGCCGTTCCGCGGAGGAATGCTGCGCTCCCTCCCCACCGTCCCTCCCCACCTCCCGCCCGGCGGCGGCAGCGCGCCCTCCCTCGGGGGGCCGAGTCAGGAGCGTGACGCAGGAGCGGGCTCTTCCTGGACGCCCAGCCTCGCGGGCGCAGCACCCACCAGAGGCGCCGAGCACCGCGCGGTGCGCGCCCAGTCGGTCCCATTGCACCCGCTGCGCGCGTCCGCCATCGGCCTTCCAGCTCACCACGCTGCCCAGCCAGAGGGAAAATGGGCACGGGGGATTTCATCTGCATCTCCATGACTGGAGGGGCGCCTTGGGGGTTCCGGCTGCAGGGCGGCAAGGAGCAGAAGCAGCCTCTACAAGTGGCGAAGGTAAGCGGGGAGCAGGGTCAAGGTTGTGCACCGTGTCTGTCCCAGGGGCCCGACCTGCTGAGCTCTGGAGGCTCTGACGCTGAATTGATGGAGAACAGGCTTGGTTTTAAGAAACGTTAGGGTCCAAACTACCGCGTATCATGCAATTAACTGGCAAGCCACGGCGGAGGGAAGGGTCACGGTCAGGAGCTGGAGTAAAGACGCCCCCTTCGGAGGACAGCAGAGCTCCGCGGGGCGCAGCCGCTTGGCCAGGATGCTCTGGGGACTCGATCTAGTGCTGGTGGCAGCGTGCACGGAAAAGCCAATTTTGGCAATAATTTTAAAAGTATGATGAAATGTCATAAAATCTATTTAAAGAATATCCTTTTAAGGATTTGACAAGTAAATGCAGAAAGCCAAGTGCTGTATTCCCTGAAGTGTGCCCAGCTGGTTAAGGACAGCAATAAAATTCAGGGATCCCGGAGCTGCCAGGGCCCAGAGTGACTGCAGGCTGCAGGAGCTGTTCGCAGGGGTGCACCGCGGGGCTGGGGTCTGCTGCCTTCCAACTGGCAGACAAAAAAACCTTGAACTGTACGACAGTGAACAAGTTTTACCCGATTTTAATATCAAATTATAGTATCATATCAAAGAGTTTGTGAGGGCAGGAGGTGGATTTTGTTTTATGCTTATATTAAAAATGGATCCAGATGCTTCTGAAATATGTGGGTCACTGCCTTGTAGGCATCCTCTCACCTTGGCTTTTACTTTTAAAAAGCGGTGGGAGTGAGAAAAGGAGTTTCTTTGAAGTTTTCTGCTCTCAGGAATCCATCAGAAAATCCTTTCATATCGCGATGGTAGAATCCTGCCCCCTAGTGGAAGTTCAGGTCCTCAGCCCAGACAAGAAGCAGGTCGGGGAAAAGCAGATTTTTAAAATAAGACTGGAAAGTTCATCAGAGATCAGTCATTCAAGTATTTTCAAATGAGGAGAGAGCCTGAGGGGTTAAGTAACCCTTCTGGAGTGTCCAGTTGGACCTCAGAGGATCTGTGGCCCTCGAGGCTCCCCGGGAGCCAGGGCAGGCCAGTGCTGCAGGAGAGCAGGACTGTGCTGGGGGACCCCACCTTCCTGGGCATCCGTGAAGCAACACTCGGATGGAAAGGAAGAGCATTGGGGAAAGGACCTGCAAGGGAGGAGGGGCAGGGCCCCTGGGACAAGAAGAAAAGAGCCTGCTAGAACTAGAGGGTCCCGGGCAACAGGGTTCCAAAATTCTGGTCACCACAAAGCACCTGTTACTGGTAGTCAAAGCACCAAAGTTTGTGACAACATTGTGTGATAAACGTGAAGGTGTGATCCAGGCTGGGACCTGAGGCTGGAGCGCTTCACTGAGTCTAGAACAGTGGTTGGTCATCTGCTTCCCACAGGGAGATGGGGCTGACTCCAGCGCTGGTCTCCAGGGCAGCCCTGGGTGAGTGGCCTGCCCTCCTGGAGGGGGTGTAAGGAGAGAGATGGAGACTTTGGGTGGAAAGGAGAGAGTTAAGGAGGATGCTGAACTGCAGGGTCCTGAAGGTCCTATGCCCCAGGGCACAGTTTGGGTGGAATGTGAGGACAGAGAGGCTGAAAGCTGTCATGTCCAGTGGCTCTGAAGAGCTCAGCAGGCATGGAACCTCCTTTCTCTGGGTGCTGGTTTCAAGGTTCACACTGTCCTCTATTGCTCAGGGGAGCTGGTGTTCTAGAAAGCCTGGGAGCAGAGGTTGCTCGCTGTGCCTGCCTCGCCAGGACCACCATTCTTATTTAAAGTGCTGCGCCCGTCAGAGAGTGGACTTCAGGGTCTCCCACGGAGCTCAGCGCAGGAGGGTGTTCTGGAGCAGAGACCGGCTCCTTTGGGTGGAGCTGCCCCCACCTAGAGGTGGGACATACAGGCTGGGTGCAGGATGGTTGCTGTGAAGCAAGATGCTCGTGGTTTTGAGAAAAAAGATTAATTTGATAATTGAAAAAAAATATTTCCCAAGAAGATAGAATTTCAGCCAGTGCTTGAACCATGACCTTAAAATGAGAATGCTATGAAATGTTTTGTTCAAAGATAAAACAAAATTTGGCTTGTTGTGAAACATTTGTGTTTAGATCTTTAATAATTCCTTATAGAAAAAACCCAGCAGGCTGAAATAGCGCAGGAAAAACAAGGGTAATGTTATTAAGTGGTCAGGAGCACAGTGGCCTTGTAAATGCCACTGAGCACCTCCCAGTGCTGGCTGGTCACTTCTCAGAGATGTTCAGACATGTTCAGTACTTGCTGGCTGACCAAACTGCACACAAACCCACACTTTAAAGATCACTAACAGGAATATTAACAAAACTTCTCAGAGACAAAAAGCTCAGTGCTCTCAATTTCTGTTTTTTTTTTAAATAAACTGATTTTTTAAAAAGGCCAAATAATCAGTAATGCATCTGGTGTTTGAATGCTTGCGTGTCTGTGAATTTGCATTCTGCATGACACAGTGTACGCCTCACAGGCTAAAGCCACTTGGCCTGATCTGTCCCTAGAAGCAAGCTGTGCAGACGGACAGCCCCACTGTCGGAGCCAGAGGATGTCAGCAGACCCCGCTGCAAAGCTCCCTGGGGACCCCCTTCACGGCTTCCCTGGAAACACTCTTGGCAGATCACTCTGGAAAGCTCCATGTCAAGCCGTTGGAGCCGTTTTTGTTGGATAACACATCTTACAATTCAAAACAACTCACATTTTGAAAACAATGAACTAAACATTGTTCAGAATATTTATCTTTCATGGTTAATACAGTTAGACTTTTTTCTTTAAACCCTGTAAATCTCTGTAGTTCTGATTCCCATTGAATTTCAGTTCAAAGTTTCAAGCACCGATCACAATTGAGATCACAAATCATCATCGATCTCTTCCTGAGGCAGTGATGGATTCAGTGATTCTTACCTGTGGCTGTGGACCCTGGAAAGCTCTGAACAAAGCACATTTTGTAGGCTCAGTGCAGTCCAGGCTCTGTGGTCCATGTCCCCTTGTGCCACATCCCTTGCGCCATCAGTGAGGTTTCTGGAATGCTTCAGAGAGAGTGATTCCAGAAACAGCCACCTGTGGGGAAGGGACGCCAACGTGTGGAGGGCGTCTGAGAAAGACTGCTCCTCACTACCAGTGGAAACCTCGTGATGTCTTTAACATAAAGGAGCTGATCCCTCCACGCTTGGCTGGTTCTGGGTCCTTACTAGAAACTCAAAGGCAGGTCTGCTCCAAGCCCACACATGAGGTGCGTCTCCCAGGCAAACGGTGTGTCCACACCCTCGTCCGGACATTGTGTTCCAGTGCGCTCAGTCGTGGGGCCGCGGTGGCATCAGATGCCCCTGCGCATGCACTCTGCTTGGTGGTGGGGACCTGGCACAGCACTTGTGTCCAGCAAGTCCTGCCCAGTGCCCGGAAGGGTTCCAGTGCCTGTGAGTGACGTCTCTGGAGTGTTCTGCAGATCCTGAGCGTGTGTGTGAGAAGCTGCCTCTGCCCCAGAGCTGGGGAAGCTGCGGTGAGACAGGCCAGGCTCTTGCTACGGGGATCTGTAAAGATGACTGGATGCAACTTTTCTCCTTTTTTGTTGGAAATGTGCCCAAGAGGATAGAGATGGAGGTAGGCTAGGGTGGTCCCCCAAGGAAAGTTCATAAAACGCAAACATACCACGGCCTCAACGTTTGTAATCACTTGGGAGATCATTAATTGGCCTGGGGTGTGCCCTGGGCCTCAGGGTTTGTAAACACTTGGAGGTAATTCCCACGTGTGATCCAGATCCCCAGCCCTGCTGCAGAGGGCAGCCAGCTGGGTCCACTCTGCGCTCACTGGGAGGCAGGCACCCTGCCCTTTCCCAGCCAAGGTAGGAGGTGGCCCAGAGAGGCCCGGAGCTGCCTGAGTTCCAGCCTGGTGAGCAGGTCACGTTGTGGTGGCCAGCCAGGTGAGCTGGGGAGGACACAGGCGCTGGGGCCTTCAGCAGGAGCCCTGGAGGCTGGGCTGCAGGAAGGGAGGTTCTCTGCTAGTGAGTCTGTGAGAGCCTCATATCCACACCAGGGCAGGCTCCGGGCACGCCCTGGGCAAGCTCTGGCAGCGAGGAGGAGCCCCCAGTGGCCACCTGAGCCAGCAGCAGAGCCCTCAGCTGACCAAAGCTCAGTTCACACTCAGACAGCACCAGAAGCGGGTTTCCCATCTGCCTGAAACCCAGAGTCAAAGTCTCACTCATTCCACCTGGAAGCAGGAGCATCGCGGGAGCCGGGTGTTTTCAGAGCTCCTCTGTGCCTGGCGGTGCGTGGCTGGTGGGTACCTCGAGGAGTGCCAGCTGGTTCTGTTCTAAGCGTGAATCGGTCCATTTCTCCCCACGGAAGCTCTCGGCATTGGCAAAGACAGACCCCTTGAGAGTACCTTGGCCAGACCCATGCACTTCTCCTACTCTTGGTCATTAACTGTCCAGTCCAGTTGGAGCTTCTGTCTAATGCCTGGCTCTGAGTTCCCTCCCCTAGCCCTGTGGCTCTGGAGCTCACCATGGGGAGAAGGGTGTTGTCTGCCCTTACCCGCCTCCCTCCAGCTCCCGCGAGGCTAGAGGATGGAGGAGGGGCTGCAGAGGGGAGGGGAGGTGCCTTCACCTAGAGCTGAACAGGGGGCTGCTGTTGTCTTCTCTGGTCAAAGCTGAGTGGCCCCTGAAGTTCTCTGTGGCTGGTGTCCAAGTGCCAGGGCAGATGTGGCTTCTCCTAGGAGCCCTGGAGACCCCTGGGGCAGGCACCCTGGGTTGGCAGTTGGGCTCACCTCGCTCTGCCCTGTCCTGCCCTGGGCCTGGCGGCTGGCTCCTGGAGCTCCTGGCTGGGAGTCTGACCTTCGGGGTAGGGCGCTAGAAGCTGGCTCAAGCCTGCCACCTGCCTTGGCATTTCTCATGCAGAGGAGATGCCGAGACCCTCCCCTGGGCCCGGTGGCAGGCTGGGGTCCTGGTGACAGGCCCTTACATTCAACCAGATAACGTGTGAAACAACTTAA